CTTCATTTGTTCATAGAACTTAGCTATGAACTCCTCTGCTCTTGTGTCAATCCCTTGCTCTTCCTCAATCTCCATTCTTCCATTCTCCTCCTCCTCCTCATCAGAACGAGTTTCCTCTTCGCCTCCATTTTCGAGGAAGCTCTTCCTCACGGCGTCGTACCCGTAGCTTAACCGGTCGTCGTCGTCGAACTCCGGATCGAAATCGACGTGGGGGTTTATGCACGGGATGTGCGGCAAGTGAAACCGCATCGACCCTGGGCGGTGCATCTTCACGTGGACAACCGGGGTCTTCTCGAAAGAGAGCTCTTGCTCTCCGTACCAGATCTGGCTGCGCGGCGTGGTCCGGCTGATGGCCTTGAGGAACTTGGGCACAAGGCGGAGCTGCAACTTGAACGCCCCACCTTTCCTCGCCCAGAGCAGCGCCGCGCGCAAGAGGCTCCACGCCCTGCGAGAAGCGCCGGACGTCTTCCTCGGCATTCTTGGACTCTCTAGCTGAGGCAGTGTTGCTTTGGGAGAAAGTACTGCAGACTGCAGTTGCAAAAGATGAATGAGAGAAGATGAAAAGAGTGTGTGTGCAGAGCTCTTTATGTTCGTAAGCTTTTATATACGGCTGGAAACTTTGTATGGCACGCGGTGTTGTGGGGCGACAGAGAGAGTAGCTTTGATGTGGGGACGTGAATGGTGGGCGGTGGGACTTGGTGAGCTACGCGGTTGGACGAGGTTAGCTGTTTTCTGCTGTTGAAGTTCCTTCATTACTTTTCTTTTTCCCCTTCTCATGGAAGATATCGGGATCTTTCGACTCGATTGATCTCAACAAGCAGACGTGAATTGTTCCTTCTCGTGTATCGGATAGGACTTTACCAACAGGGTAGCGGGCGTACTCTCGAGGTTACTATGAGTGAAAGTAATTCATCTGAATGCAAGATTCTTCTAAGCACTTACCCCGTTTCAATTAAGACAAAATCATAGTTTTCAATGCATTAATTTTTGTGTTATATATAATCAATATCATAAATATCGAATTATTTCTTCTTTTTTCGTTGAAATATCCAATTATTTCTAATAAAAGGAAAGTGAAGTATTATATTTTGGAAGCTACCCAGCCTTTATTACAATTCTTCGCTATTTTTCTTTGGTTTTCACTATTTTTTAGCCAAATTGATGAATGTTGTTTGGTGCACTCAATTCCATGTCGTGACATTTACTTCTGCTGGTTGTTGGGGAACTCGAAAGGAAAAAAAAAATGATGATTTATTTTCTAGTCTCGCTTTGTCTTTCACATTCACTCCAACTAATTTAGTTTTCCTTCTCAGTCGAGCTTACGATTTAAACTTGAAGATTATGGCAAAATTCTCTTTTAAAAGATCTTGATCTCCGGCTCGCCGACCTTAACTTGTGAAGAACTTGACAAGCAAATCCTCAATGTACCCAATAACATTGCATTCGAATTCCGAATAGTCATGGCGTTACCATGAAGTAGTTTTAGTTTCCCCCCTTTTTTTCAAATTTTCTAATCTCACCATTACCTAATTTTTGGCATTTTCGATTGGCAACACAAAACATTTCATTCAATTTAGAAGGAAGGCAATCATTGATCATTTCATGACCCCATGAATGGTAGGATCCATATTTCAAATCACAAATTAATAAACAAAGGTCGACGGCTTCTTTGCCTAAGTAAAAGGTTGTTGCCTGGATTCTTCTAAACCGTGTAAGGAAGCTTCACCTATTGATAGGATGTTTCGTTTCTTTACGAGTGATTATCAGTCAAAATCTATCTTAGTCAACAATTAATTATTCATAATTTCGAAAAAAATTATTTATTTATAATGCAATTAGTAGTTGAAGTCTTTAAAAAATACAGCATAGAGAGGGAGCAAGCCATGAATCTGTAGTTTTATGTATTTCGGAATCTAATTTTTTGCATTTTGTTCGGTCTTGAGCAGTTGGTGCATTTTGACTTTTTTTCATTTAAAGCGCTAAAAAACTTCCACTTTTTGCCACCCTGTATAAGTTCTCCATAAAATTTTCAATAATATTTTTAAATTTAGTGGATAAAAAATGCTTTTTCTTTCTATTGATCAAAATAAAACGTTAAATTCTTAATTGACCAACTGGCAAAATGTTGAGTCCCGTTTATAGATTTATGAAAAAAATAAGGTCACTATGAACACAAATTCCATTCAATTTAAAGAAATATTGTCTTGTCACTTTCTTCTGATTTCCAAGACAACAGCGCAGATTGAGCTCAGACCAAAATCCCCGGTTTGGCCCAAATCTCATGGCATTTCGTGGGCAACCAGCAAGACATTACAATATTAAATTGAATCCAAAGAAAAATAAGAAGTAAAAAAATAAAAACAAGGGCTGTGATGCCAATTTGCTAGCTGTCTTATCACCCGTAAATCAATCAAGAATTTTAAAAAGAAAAAATCTAAATCACTGGCTGAAGCTGAACCATTTCTATTGGGACACAGCCTGTATTCATTTTTTATCCTTGAAAGATTCTCTATCTCTTGCCTGGCAGATGAATGCCAGTAGTTGCTCTTCAACTAAAACAAAGAAGCCAAACTGAGAACCAACAATTTTTTTGTCTGGTCGAGTGTGTTTAGAAGGTTTGCTCTCATGATACCTTAGTTATGTGGAAAGGTTAGGGTTGCGCAACAGTAACACCGAAAACGTGATGAAGTCGGGATGCAGTAAGAGGAGGAGCGGGTAATTTTGATTAGCTCGGATTTCAGGTGGTAGGCGAGAGTGTCAAGCCGCTACAAGTTGAGAGAGTGGTGAATTGGGTGGGGAGTTCTTTATGGTTCAATGGATGGAATCCCAGTGCCCAAAATGCCAATGTTTAGAAGTGCCTGAGTATAGATGAAATAAATGTGCCAATGATCAGAAGCGTCCAAATGAACTGGTGGCCTTATAATTATAGTGAGAGGGTTAGGGTAGCTAGCACACAGGATGGTGCCATGTGACAATTCATGTAGAGAAATTGACGGTGGATAGGTTATCGCATGTTATGGGACACAATCCAATGATTTAGTTGGTATGCAGCATGAGGACAAGGCCCAATAAGGGTTTGCCGCATGTTGGGAATGTGTGCCTACACTAAGCCCATTAGAAAGGATCAGAGGTTGGACAAACTATTCATAATGAGCCCCTTTCTAAACTCACCCAGTGAAGACTCTCTAAGATATCTCAATTGACCAATTCTAAACTATTTCTGCATATTACAATGCTTTGTGAAATAATCTTGCAATAAGTTCCCAAGGAAAAGTATTTGAACAAGAAGATACATATTTACTTTTCATATACATAAATGACCAAATTATGCATTTACATTTTACTTTCTTCATGAAAAATCTTTGAGGCATTCAATAAAAAGAAGTGTCATGCACGAAAAGAATGCACAACAAGATAAATTGCACAATTAATGTGATGATGAAAATGGTGCACGATTAATCTGGTAGAGTGTGTTTAAAGGGTTTGCTCTCACGATATCTTATTTATGTGGAAAGGTTAGGGTTGCACAACACCGAAATCGCGATGAAGTCAGGATGCAGTAAGAGGAGGAGTGGGAGTAGGTAATAGTAATAGGGGATTGCCGCATGCTTGGAGGATACGGGCTGACACTATCCTTGTTAGAAAGGATTTAGGGGCAAGGCAAGCCATCCATGACAAGACCCTTCCCGGGCTTTCTAAGACATCATAGTGGACTAATCCTAAGTTATTTCTGCATATTACAATACTCCGCGAAGTAATCTTGCAATAAGTTCCTACGCAAAGATATTTGTTAGTAATTTAGGAAATTATGACGAGAAGCAACATATTATTTTTCAAAAACATAAATGATCAAATGCTAAATATAATTGTTAAAAATGCCAAGGGTCAACCGGGACAGCCCCCATGCCCCCTCAAGGCGAGGATTGAGAATTTTTAATAATATTTTCATATTAAAATATTAAAATATTATTAAAAATTATCCATTAAAAATTATTCACAATAGTAAGACGGCCGGCGTCTACGTTAGTGATTTCCAACTAAAATTGGCCAGATTAACTTAATTAATAAAACGTGAAAATATTTAGGACTGAATTGGTAAAATAAAAAGATTTAGGACTACAAAAGTACGATAGGTTTAAGAATTTTTGGATAATTTTCCCCCTAAAGTTCTTAAAAACCAACTTAATTTTTTTTTTTGGGTCGGAATAGACCAACTTAATTTGAGTAGACCTTTATTCAACACAACCATCAAAAATCTATATTGAGTTACCGATCTGTTTGACCTATTTTGAGCCCAATACTAACTTTTTATGACTCAATCGTGAAAATCCTTTCTCATTTCTTAAACGCCCACACAGAGTAGCCCGCCAAAAAAAATCAAAATCTCAAGACCTTTCTTCATTCACTAAGCACGACTTGCGAGCCGCCACTATCGCCAGGCCATTGAGCCTTAGCCATCGTCAAGCTATGCACGGACCATCCTCCTTCTTGTCTCATTTCTGTCTCGATTCTCTCTCCTTGTGCCATGCCCGCTCAAGGACCTACCCGTGAGGTCCCCAAGCTCGACTTTGACAGGGGTTGCGACCTCATATCTCGCTCAAATCCATCATTCTTGAGGTTGGCGGCCTCGCAATGAGTCTGAGAGAGAGAGAGAGAGAGAGAGAGAGAGAGAGAGAGAGGACATGAGGACGGCTGTGGTCTATTGGTGGCGCCATCACAGTCTGCAAGCAACAACCTTCGCTGCGGGTGGTTGTTGCTACCATTGCCCCCTCCACAGTTCACCTCTGTAGATTAGGGTTTCGTCGACAATATTCAAACCAAGATAACCCCATCCAATTAATGTGAGTTAAAAAAGTCGGGTACATGACCCATTTTGCCACCACTTAACAACCACTTCAACAATTAACATGCAAAAGAAATCATCTAGCCTTACTATCTGATTTATTGCTAAGTGCTCAACACAACCACCTAAGATGTTCCTGCAAATCCACAGCAGGCAATTGCATAATTATGGTAACACAGCTTTCATTACTTCGAAGACCATTATAGACTCCTATATTGTGCTTCCTTAAACATTCGTGGGAGGGAATAATAAGAGAATATTAACACTCATCTATAGTACTCATCGTATTGAAGTCAATTCGAACTGCAGGAGGGAACGTATTTAAAATTCAACCGGCTAGATCATTACAGGTAAGGCAAAAGTCTCGAAATCAAATTAATCACACGGTACAGGCAAGAACTTGATTTTTTCAGATTTCCGCTAATCATCGTCCTCGAGGACATTACGACGCCTCTGGATCTGGGACAAAATCATCAACCAAAGCAACATCAAACATTAACTATTCTCGTCACTCGCACCTTGAAACGAATTTTATTTATTTTGACACACAAACACGACACAAAAAAACAAGAGAGGAACTTACAGTGACTTTTGTCTGCTTAGTTGTCTGGGTATTAATCTGTTCCAGCAGTGATATGAGTCTCTCTTCAGAAACCTATCAGATAAGCTTTCTGTAATTCACACAGAATTTAACAATATAATGGTAAAAACAGTCATCTGACCAAGAAGCCTCAGCCATACCTTCTCAACTATCTGACCCATTTGAGCAGCACGCAGTACGACATCTTCAACACCTCTGGCCTTCTCAGGCTTCACCAATGCAATTCTAGCAACTGTCCAAATGACAGCAGTCAAAAAGGAAGTGAGAATGAGAAATCTCGGTATACATCTCCCATTTGCTCATAGCAGCTACCAGGCAAGCGGTCTATTCTTTAATTAGTTCACAGCAGCTATAATCCCACTTACTCAGTAACGTTCTTACATCTCATCCAAAATCCTCCACAATTGACCCCAAGAAAATAATTCGTATATCCCTTAATCTCCGGACAGTTACTTTAGAGATCAAAATAACTTTCAAAAAGAGAAACTTCAATGGCAGCTTGAGACTTAAAAGAAATATTATCCGTGATGTAACAAAGTGATATATTTAAGCGGTGTGAGATCCAGCCACCAGATCCACAAAACACCAGTGATGAAGTTGTACATATCATCATGCAACTTGGGGTCCAAAATTAGACAAGTGAATATTAGAGTACTTTAGAGCAAGTTCAGAGGTCTAACTACATTAGCAAGTAGATCTGCAACTACTGAATGCATTAGAGAGACTAGATAGCCATGTCCAAACATTCTTAAAAAATTATCCTCCCAGCTGACGAAGTATTTTTCTTCCTGGTAAGGAAGACTTTCCCATATCTGTTTGGCTCTCACACTTTCTTGATTTAAATCTTCAACCAGGAGCAACTACTTTTAAAGTATAAGTCTTAGATTTAGAAGATTTTCAAGGATTTTAAAAGGAACGATTAAATATGCTCAGATCACATCCCTAACAAACCAATGAGGTATAGTATATTTGTTTTGAAGGAAGTAGACAACCAACCATCATCCGATATCTTTAAATTACATGAAAACAAGCTCTTGGCGATGAGAAGCGACCATACACCATAACTTCTTATCAATTTCTAATGCTGTTATTTTGTCTAATATATTCCAATTTCCATATTAAATACTAAATTTCAAGAAGAGGTTGACACACGTCACCTTACCACCCACACCACATCAAAATACCACAGTTTGATAATTTTTTGGATATGATTTCTCATGAAGTGCATATCTTTATCAATATGCATTTCAAGTATTCACATAATGAGATTGCAAAAATAATCGTTTCTTTTGAAAATCATTGTTTATTACCCTTGTCGGAGGTCTTTTCTTCAACCCTAAAATATAAATGAAATACATTGACTCGATATCTTGTGTATTTTTCATACGCTAAATAACATTGATGTGAATATATTCTTCCATGCAAATAGCCGACTATGCCTCTGGTACATCATAGGTTAGAAAGCCAGCTTGCCCCAAATAAAAGTTATCACAAAAGAATGGATTTTCGTTCTCTTGCTCACAGCTATCATCTCAGAGTTAGTACAAATATTGTGGATTTAGGCTTAAAGGTGTCCAAAGAGACACCGATTCTCATGGTATGACTACCTTTCCTCCATTTCGGTGTTCCCAAAGACTTGCCATATGAAAGTTTTGAGTTGAAGGAATTGCTGTTTGCCAGCAAGAAAGGCTACAATGCATGAAGAGCCATGGAAACTTACGAAGAAAATTAACAGTGATCCCGAGTTTTTTTTTTGTTTGGTCGAAACAGTGATCCCAAGTTGAAGCAGTGCAACTCGCAACAAAATCAAGAGCGATCCCAAGTTGAGGTGGTCAAATCTTAAAGTTGCTTTGATAAGTAGATTGTGTGTGGAATAACAGATTCTTTACCAACCTTCAGCAAATTGAAGAACAGATGAAAGCTAACCCTTGAGGATGGGGTTTCCAAAAGGGAGGGGTCCGATGTATGAAAAGTAGTTGGGTGAAGGAGGTATAAGTAAATTTATATTAGTTTTGTTAGGTGTTAGTTACTTAAAAGACAACTAGCTTCTGTATTTGGCAGAGACATAAAAAATGGCTGCAGATGCAGAAGTCGCAGCAGAATTGAAGAGTAAACTTCAGTGCTTAATTATCTCTCATAGTTCTCATCTCCTCCATTCCCTTCCTCCTCCCCTGATATGATCTCTATCCATATCTTCTTCCCTATTTCGCTCATAATTCTGTGTTCTTAGCTACACATAATAAATATGCTTTTTCCATGGTTCTCCTTCAACAAAGGCTTCCTGATTCCACTTACAGATCTAAAACATCAGGAATCTCAAATTGCATTTTTACGATAAGCAATCACTGCACTTTGTTACTGAAAAAAATTAAAAACATTTTCATCAAATAGCAAATAGATTCTGCATTTCAAGCTGTCTCACATGAGAGAAATCTTCTTGATGACAGCCTGACCTCACATATGCACGCACACACGCATTGAGAGAGAGAGAGAGAGAGAGAGAGAGATGATGACGACAAGGAGGAGGAATTGTTGTCGATGAACCCTAAGTATCCGCGCAAAAACAAAAAATCGAGAAGAAAAAGGAGAAAAATTAGAAACCAAGAGATCCTAATTTCAACAGTAGCATAACATGGACATGGATGACCGGTTTAAGAAAACATGTGGACCAGGTAGGCTGGATAAGACCACCCACAGCTTCCAATATAAAGTAAAAATCGAGCCTCTACCAAATAATAGTCCAGAGGAGAAGAAACTAATCAACAAAGACACCAGAACCCTCCCATTCCAAGCATAGTGTTCAACGAAAATGCTTTTTCACTTACGTCTTTCTCGTGCTTCAGATGACAAAATTTGACTAAGCATCATTTGCCTTCTTTCATCTGCCTCCCTAAAACATTTATTGAAATTCTTAGTCCAACTAATGCTTAGAATCCTGAATCTGAAGAAAAAATAAACCAATAATTCACTACAGTAACCTCTTTGCTTCATCCTGGGCATTCTGCTGTTCGGAGTTATTCTGATTTCCCTGTCACGTGCACGAGCGTTAATAACAAATGAAAAAGAATAATCAACAACTAAACTGCAATTGAGATACAGTTCTAATCATGGTCATTACCATCTCACGTTGAGCCATAAGCTCCTGCATTCTTCTCTGTCTAATTGCTTCTAGTTCAGGATCAGCCTGAAACATAATGCCAGCTAGTTGTTAGATAGAAAGGTTTATCCCCGAAAAAAAATATAAGCAGCATTGCATGAAGCTGACTATAAAAGCGAAACACTGCAACTGAATCTAAAACTCTCAGCTGACACTTTTAGGGTTTCCAACTTTTCCAAGGGAAATCCAATTTTCTGAGTTCTCCACAAGCCACTACAAAGTTTTTATTTCTTAAGAACAGTAAAACAGACTGCTGAGTTATCATTAAGAGGTGTTGGAGAGAGGTAAGCTAAACATTAGCAACAAGAATTATTGAGAACAACACCATTCACCAACATAATGCATCCTTTGTAGATGATGGAAATATAAACTAATTAGCAGTCGCTGCTATTAACTCTGTAATAGCACAATTTTGAAAGCAAAATACGAGGATAGTCACTTTCAGCTTGTATTAGCGGGACGTCCATCAGAAGAAACCCAATTGTCAGACTATTACCAGGACTTATTCTCTTTCATGGCAACTTCACACGAGCGAAAAAAGAGCATCTTCGACAGAAGCATACTCAAAATGCCACCATCCAATATCACAATGACAGTTTCAGATACCGGAGCAACAATTCTCAGCTTCCCATAACATCAGCAGATAAAGCAGTACAGGTGAAATCAACCCATGCCCAATAATTACTGCACTATTGCAAGCTATCAGCCTACCAAAATTCAGGGCCAAATGGAGGAACCTCCAGACTCCAACGCGACAACCAGAACACCATTCACACGAATCCCAGACGGACATCATCAGCAAGAGACAGAGACTAGAAACTTCATAATTCAACACCCATTCCGGTAACGAAGCGAAGCCCACGACAACAAATCCCAGACCCACAACCACGGATTGCACGAAAAATCAGTAGAGACCGTAGCATCGGCACGTTTCGCAGAAGACGAAGATGCCATCAACTCGAACCGATTCTCAAAACACACTCGTTAAAGAGTATGCGAAGACGACGGGAAGCGAATCATCCCCGAGGGAACGAACGAACGAACGAACGAACGCAGAGAGATCGCAGGAGGCGGCGCACCATGGCGGTTCGGGCGGCGGCTCTCAGGCCGAGATCGACTCGAGCGGGCTTCGGCGGCGATCGGCGTTCGCAGCTCCGGCTCCGGCCTCGCGTTAACCCGACGCGATTTTACAAGATTCGCTCGGGAGAAAATGCCTGACCGTTCCGGCGATCCGTGCCGAAACATAAAAGGGCCTGCCTGCAAAGTCGAATTTACGAATATGCCCTTTGGTGTTTGAGTGGAAATTGAATTTGGATTCCCGAGGAAAATTAGCGATTTGAAAAAAAATTTCTCAGAAAATAATCCTTGGTGTCATTTGAAATGATTAGCCAAAAAAAAATATTTTCATTATCAACAATAATTTTGTTTAAACATCCTCGTGGAAACTGAAAGCATTTTTCGTCCATTCGTTTTTGTGAGCATTATGAGCAATCGTTTTTATAAAAAAATATTTTTCAAATCGTTCATTTTCTGCGAAATAAATGAAATTCCTATAATTGCTATTTTTTCTCTTTGGGCAGAAAGAATTGCATGGTTTGATTTGGTTGGATTCGGATGTAATTCAACCCGCACCCATTCTATCGGTTTTGAAAAATCTCGACCTAAATCCGTACCAAATAAATTGTTATAACTCAAATAGAATCGATAATTTTTCGATTAGTTATCGTTTTGGTGCGATTTTAAATGGGTACTATGATGTCGAGGTATAAGCAAGATGTGCAACACAAACTTAAGACCATGAATCTTCAATGTATGAAATTAAAGCACATGTTTTTACACACCCATTGAAAGGGGACTATAATCACAATTGCATATGACGGAAATATATGTAATTTAGCTAGACATAAGATTCAATTCATCAAATAAAACGGAGCAATCTCCTATAGGAAATGACTTACTTGGTTAGGCGAAACTCAAAATTCATTAGTCAAAAGAACATAGTTACTCATTAAGCTTATCAACTTGGGTCGTTTGATCGGGTTTTCAAGATCGAGAATTGAAACTTGTCGCGACCGACCTCCCGAGCCTTTTCGAACGACAACATGCAAAAAGAAGGGGGGGCTCGCCTGGTACGTGCTAAGTCTAGGTTCGGGACTTAACTCTAGCTCTCCCAAGCCCATACCATATCGCAACTTAGGATTTAATTTTTTAACATGCAAACGGTTTATACCAAGGAGTCGCCACTAATCGATTTGGGGTGGGTCGATTAGAAACCCAAATAAGGTGACGGGAGAATCACCCTATTCCTACGAACCAGAGATTAACTGAGTTCGGGGACTTGGTTACACTAGTTGGATAACTAATGCCCTTTCGGTACCTTTTTACCCTGTTCATTTTTTTAAAAACATTTGTCAGGCAATTTGGACTGATTTTAGGACCTTTCTCCTAACATGTGAGGTGATTAAGCGAGTGCATAATCAGAAACGATTAGCAGTAAAAAACACAACAATTCATGCAGCCTAAGGTTCTAACCTTAACTAAGTCAGATGACATTCAAAAACAAAACAGCTCATGCAATTGTATTAAAAAACATGCATAATAATACCACGGTAATAAATTAAAACACGTAATACCGCGCGACCTTAGGTTTGTCTAATTTAAATAAGACAATAGCATACATAATGATTACAACAATAAATTAAAACATTTAGATAACCCATATATATAAAATAAAAAAATTATTTTTTATTTTTATTTTTATTTTTTTCGGACTAAAAAAAGAAAATAAAAAGAAAAACTTTTTGAAAATCTTTTCAAATTTTAAAATTTTTTTAAAATTTTTTTTAAAAATAAATAAATAAATACGGAAGAAGAAGAAAATAAAAAAGAAAAAAAAATTTAAAATTTTTTTGTAAAAAAATTTAAAATAAAATAAAATAATAATAATAAAATAATAATAATAAAATAATAAACCGGGTCGGGTCGGATCCGACCCGGGTCAACGGATTCGCCCCGAGGCGTTGACCTGGGTTGGATCGGCTGATCCGGGTCGAAATTGACCCGGGTCAACGGATCCGAACCGGGGCGTTGACCCGGGTCGGATCGGCTGATCCGGGTCGGGTCACCCCCATGTGCACAAATGCACGGGGGCGCCGGCGGAGCCAAAATTGGCCTTCCGCTGGCCGACCCAGACTGGCGCCGCCCCAAAATCGAACTCTGGAGTTCACCTTCGAGCTCCGCCACCCACTAAAGTCGCCGTCCGACCGCCGCTCGCCGACTGACGACTGGATTGAAAATCGGTCTCTTTGGGGAATTATATCGAACACCTGGCGTGCAGAGGTAAAAGAAGAAGACTTCGACCTGTTCCGGCGACCTGATCGACTCCGGCCGCCCAGCTTACCTTTAATGACGACGTATGCACGGTGGAGGAAGACGGTATGGGCCGGGATTCGCGTGATTCGGCCGGCGCGAGTCCCGGCCAAACTGCACCAAAAAATAGAGCAAAACAGGGGGTTTCTCGGCCGGGGGGAGCTCACCAGTGACGGCGCGCCGGGGCGGCTTTCTGGCTATTCCGTGGGCGACGGCGATGCTGCTGGTTGTCCTTCCTGTTCCGGCGTGGCCTCGATTTGTCCCCTCTCCCTCTCTATTCTCTCTTTTCTCCCTCAGTCTCTCTCTCTCCTCTGTTTCTCAAATGGCCGACCGGGGCCTCTCTCTCTCTCTGGCTTTTATAGCCGGCGACGACGATCACTCTCCGCCTCTCTGCGTCGGCGTGACGATGGCCTGCATCGGCCTACGCCGCTCGAAGACTTTTGTGGCCATTGTAGGCCGGTGTAGAGCAGAGCAAGGGGGCCGATGCAGAGAGGGTGCAGAGAGAAGGGGAAGAGACGGAGAGAGAGAGCCCGAGAATTGGGGAAGACGGGACTGGCCTTAATGGCCAGTCCCGTTGGTGTGCTTCCCCGGCTCTCTTCTGGCTTGATAGCGACGGTGAGGAGGCGCTCGGCCGTTCGTCGAGCGAGATGTCAGCAGCAGGGGAGAACAGGGGAGAGACAGAGACGGCTCGGTGCAGGGGGGAAGAAGGAAGGAAGAGGCTGGGCCGGGCCGGGCCCAGCCGCGTGAGGGGAAAAAAAGGAAAAAGAAAGAAAAAGAGCCGAAATTTGGGCCGTGAGGGGAAAGGAAAAGAAAAGTGGGTGGGTCGGCCCGGTAACCCGGCCCGACTCGTTTCATTTTTTTTTTTTTTTTTTGAAATTTTGAATTTTTTTTTTGTTTTAGACCCTATTAATGCAAATATACCTAATGTCTATATGCAATGTATTTAAATAGAAATATTTTTTGTTTTAGGAATTACAGAAAATTAATTCCTAAATTTTGCGTAATTAATTTTTGGCAAATTAAAAATAGGTGTCAACAGTTGCCCATCTTTGAAGGTGAGCTCGCAGAGATTGAGCTCGTAGAGGTTACGCTCAAAGATAAAATGACACATAAATTTGGCCCATGTATGCTCAATGAATGCTATTTTTGGCGAGACCGTGAGTCTTATTTTTGTAATGCGATAAGATAATGCATGCTAAAGCCAATAAAAAACATACCTGGGGCTACCTACCTTACCGAAGGGTATAGTAATTCCAGATATTTGGTATCATGTGTCGAGGACTCGAACCTATCTTCGGTCGCCTCAACTGAATTTCCTTCGTCTAGGATTCGAACCTATCTTCGATCGCCTTGACGAGAGAAACTATTTGTCTAGGGCCCGAACCTTTCTTCGGTCGCCTTGACTGGGGAAATCGCTTGTCTAGGACCCGAACTTATCTTCGGTCGCCTTGACTGGATTTCATTTGTCTAGGACCCGAACCTTTCTTCGGTCGTCCTAAATAGGGAAATCATCTGTCTAGGACTCGAACTTATCTTCGGTCGCCTTGACTGGATTTCATTTGTCTCGGACCCGAACCTACCTTCGGTTGCCGTGACTGGGGAAATTGCTTGCATATGACCCGAACTGGATTTTGTTTATCTTCAGTCGCCTTGACTAGATTTCATTTGTTTGTCTAGGACCCGAACTTTTCTTCGGTTGCCTTGATTGACTGGATTTTGTTTATCCAGGACCCGAACTTTTCTTCGGTTGTCTCAACTGGATTTTGTTTGTCAAAGTACCTGGGGGTCCTCGCCCGAGGATTTGACGGTTTGCCTAGTGGGTTCTCGCCAGCAGGTCTTGAAAAGACTCAACAATGAGCACCTGGGGGTCCTCGCCCGAGGATTTGATGATTTGCCTGGTGGGTCCTCACCAGTAGGTCTTGAAAAGCTCAAATGATGAGCACCTGGGGGTCTTCGCCCGAGGATTTGATGATTTGCCTGGTGGTCCTCGCCAGCAGGTCTTGAAAAGCTTAAACGATGAGCACCTGGGCACGTTCCCGGAGGTTTGATGCATCATCTACTGAATAACCGACCTTCTTCGGGGCATCTCTCTTAGGAGGATAGTGAGGGCTTCTCCAGCGCCCGAATTTTCGTGTCATATCACTGGGGATTAGAACTCTGAGCTATCAAAGATGATTGAGGCAAACATGCATGCATTCATCGAGGATAGACAAGCTAGGCTATTCCAGAATGTGTATTTGAAAGTTCATGTATGATGATCTTGCCATGTTTGCATCACCAAACATCCACCGAGGGTCAATCAAGACAATTTTTGTTCGCGAGGTGGACTTCTCGATATGATGAACGAGGGACTTTCAGTCAAAAAGGACTTTTCACTCACTCTCATTGAAAAGGGTTGTTTGTCCCGTCCATTAATGCGGGAACATCGAAAACACTCAATCTGACCGTTATCACATCAACAAGGATCTGAGTTTTCTCGCAAGCGGTACGACGCTGCCTGTCACATCCCGATTTTTTGCCCTGGGAAGCCGCAGGTAAATTGTAATATCCTCAATTTCAGTCCCTGGGAAATGACTATGGTTTAAGTTTGATGGTTTTCCAATCAGAACTAAATTGTTTTCTCTTGTTTTGGAAAACCCAGTTTCGGATCCTTTGTACCCCTTCATTTTGTTATTTTTGGGAAGACTTTTGTGATCCGAATTTTAGAATACTTTCTTATTGAAAGTTGTTCCAAACATCTTGATGTTTTACATACTTTAATTTCAGAATTTTTGGAGTTGATATGATGGACTGATTTTCGGACCGTGTGAAACTGCCCAGAATGGGTATTTCGGTGATGTTCACACCGTCTTTATTTTCTACAAGC